GTGCCGCCTGTCTATATTGAGGAGATTCTTGGAATCGTCCTGTGTTTGTTCGTGGCGTGCTGTGTTGTTTTTAAAAACTTCAATAGTCGCTGGACGGAGTTGTTTTGTTTTTGTAATTTGTTAGTGTGATGGACCAGAATGAAACAGATCAAATTTAGCATTTATTATTGTTTCATTTTGATATGCTATCCAGACCATTATAGAGATTCGTATTTGTGTTTGTCCTGTGTAGGTAGTGGCCTTGCTATTGGCTGATCCCCTGTCCAAGGAGTCCTACCGACTGTGCTTAGGCTCAAGATACTGAAAAAGTTGCCACAGTCCAACACAGGGATCTAGAGCCATGATGGTGACAAATGCATAATACCTTTTAATTCTGTAATTTATTATACAGTAGTATTGTAGCTTGACTTTTATTCACTCAGTCACCCATACATGCTAATAGACACCCACGAATGCACACACCCCTGCTCTCTCTGTCTTTTCCCCCCCTCTCTGCCCTCCTACTCCTACCCCTTTAAACTCTCTGTGGTCATGAGTTTCAAAATGATTTCTCTTCGTGGGAGGGTTTTTCATGTTATTTCCCCTTGTTTTGCAGAGTACTGTGAACGAACTTCAACCTGTATGGAGTGCGGAGCGGCGATATTCCTGTGATGAGTGTGATAAATCATTCACTCAACAGTGTAATCTGAGGGCTCATCAGTGCAACACACATCAACACATACATAGTAGGGAGAGGCCATTTTGCTGTGGTGTGGGGAATAAGTCATTCCCTTGTCGCAGCCAGCTGAAGAGACATGATCGCATACACAGTGGGGAGAGGCCATTTTGCTGTGATGTGTGTAGTAAATCATACAATGATAGGAGTAGTCTGAGGAAGCATCTGTGCGTACATAGTGGTGAGTGGCCGTTTTGCTGCGATGTGTGCAATAAATCATACAATAATAAGAGTAATCTGAGGAGGCACCTGCGCATACATAGTGGTGAGCGGCCATTTTGCTGCGATGTGTGTAATAAATCATTCAGTGATAGTAGTAGTCTGAGGACGCATCTGCACATACACAGTGGTGAACGGCCGTTTTGCTGTAACGTGTGTAATAAGTCATTCATTCTCCTGGGTAGTCTGAAGAGACATCAACACATACACAGTGGTGAGCGGCCGTTCTGCTGTAACGTGTGTAATAAGTCATTCAGTCGGGGGAGTTATCTGAAAGTACATCAACGGCTACATGGCGGTGAGCAGCCGTTTTGCTGTAACGTGTGTAATAAGTCATTCATTCTCCTGGGTAGTCTGAAGAGACATCAACACATACACAGTGGTGAGCGGCTGTTTTGCTGTAACGTGTGTAATAAGTCATTCGGTCATAAGGGTAGACTGAAAGAACATCAATGGCTACATAGTGGTGAGCGGCCATTTTGGTGCGATGTGTGTAATAAATCATACAGTGGTAGGAGTAGTCTGAAAGTACATCAACTCATACATAGTGGTGAGCGACGAATTTGCTGCGATGTGTGTAATAAATCATTCAGTAATCGGAGTAATCTGAGGATGCACCTACTCATACATAGTGGAGAGCGGCCGTTCTGCTGTAACGTGTGTAATAAGTCATTCAGTCATCGGGGCCATCTGAAGACACATCAACAGCTACACAGTGGTGAGCGGCCGTTTTGCTGTAACGTGTGTAATAAGTCATTCAGTCGGCGGACTAATCTGAAAGTACATCAACGGCTGCATAGTGGTGAGCGGCCATTTTGCTGTGATGTGTGTAATAAATCATACATTGATAAGAGTAGTCTGAGGAAGCATCTGCGCATACATACTGGTGAGCAGGCATAGAGCTGTGTGGTGTGTAATAAGCTGTTTGCTCATCAGAGCCATATGGAGACACATCGAGTGGCACATAGTGATGGGTGTATTACATCATAGAGCAGTAGAGGTCGGTTTGAACTAAGAGACCAGTATGTGAGTTGTAGCTTGCTGCTCATGACACAGTTTTCTCTCTGTTGCATGCTGTGTGTTTGTAGAGTGCTGTGAGTTATTGCAGGTGCTAACATTTCCAACTGATTAGGGAAATCAATTGCACCCCACACTACAAAAGGTCAGTGCATTCCGCATTTGTTTACTACTGATTGCTGATCCATACAAGCCCCTGTCTGGTTAAGAGCAAACAGATATGACATGATCTCCCACAGTTTAGTGTTTGCTTCAATTTTTGAAGTGTAGTAGTGCATAGTTAATGAAACTGATTGAGAATGTGTAAACGATTCTGCAGCATTATTTATGATGACCTCTTGAAGTTTGAAACATGTAGGGGAACATCTTTCCACAATAAACGAATGATGATACATTAGTATTGATTTATCTTTGTTTACATTTGTAGATGTTGTGTTGATGGTCCCATTTGTGATATCCTGAACTGATGTTTTGGTGTTTGGGAGTATTGGTCATGTGACCCACAGAGCTGAATGAAGTTCCATCAACTTAAATTCCTACAGTCTCGTAATGCACATACATTGAAGTTTCAGTTCACTGTAGTGAAATGAAGATGAGAGTGATGAAGTTCGTGAAGTCTGCTCTTTCGAAATATGATAACAGTGAAAAAATGAATGAATGAATGAAATGTTGTAGACTCGTATGTCACTGGACTGAACTTTTCATTATCTACACTGTAAAAAATGAAGGGTGATAGATAAAACGCTGTATTCTCTTTTGTAGGTAAGCTTGAAGTCAAGCGACCACTGAAGGGTTTAGCTTTTTAGAATGATAAAATTAAAATGCATCTGAAATAAGGGCATGGCTTGGATTTAATAAAACAAAAGATGGGTGCCATTGACTAATATAAATACAACAATGTTTTACTTGATACAAAAGGGAGGAATTTTCTCTGGACCAGCAAAGTGACTTATCTTTCCAAGAATAACTCCTCCTTGGACTAAACTGTATAATATTCTCATAAGACTTAACAATTTCAATAAAAAAATAAAAAACGTTTTAAAGATAATGAAAGGTAACTTGTTTCAGCATCAAATTAATTGTGTTGTTTAAATCTTACTTACTTACTCATGGAGCTGAGCCGTTCTGGAGGAGCCGCCAATTCTGCAGCTACTCAAGAATTTCCCAGTATTTTATGGAATGTGAAGGTTCATTACCATGTTCACAAGAGCTTTCCACTCGTCCCTATCCTGAGCCAGATCAATCCAATCCATACCACCCCATCTTATCTTAAACATGTTAAATTATACATATAGGTGGATGTGTGCATACATACATACACACACATATTTGAACAGGAGGATCACTGTTAGCACATTGAGATGTATTCTAAAGCAAGCTTTAATGTGGTATTCCAGAGGTTACCAAAGTTTAATATGCTCCCCCCCACAAAAAAACATTTATATAAATTTCACGCAGACACACACACACACACACACACCCTACAGAACAAGTAGAAACAGATTTTACATAAAATTTAGCTATGGGTATATATTTTTTTAATATATGAGTACTCTCGTGTGTTGGCTGTGTGACGTGACAAATAACTTCACACCGGTCTTGTATGTAGCGATTATTTATTGTACACTTTTATCCACACACAATTCACAGTGTCCCAATTATTGTCATTTATAATGTCCTCTAGATGCTTCTTCATCACTATCATAATTCTCGCTGCTCTCGGTCACGTGTTCTTGGTGACTGCTACACTTCAACTGAACTGCTCAGAGTCAGAGTTACTTTATGACTGGCGGATTTACCGCCAATCAGTTCATTTTGACGTCAGGCCCCTTGAGGCCCATGACCAGAGATTTTTTCTTTTTCCAACGGAACTCTTGTGGTAATAGTCCTTATGTCACATCCTCTCTGGTGAAAAGTTGGGTTTGTCTCTTATGAATGCACTTAAACTTTCGCCAAGTGTACATTTTGCACATATAACATGTTATTGAAAATTCTTCTGCTTGCACTAAACACAAGTCCTCTGTCAGTACAGGATTTACAGAGTAGACCATGCTTGACTTACATATCTTATGCTACAATTACAACTTTGTAATTTGAATGGTTGTATGATTGACCGACCACCACCAAGTTTAAGCCTCTTATATTTTCTGTGTCTGGTTTCGCCTTGTCCTATACCGCGAACATGTTCATTCTCATGATTTTGTATGACTTCTACTTGTCGTCTGCACAGTTTTGTTATATATCCTTTTAGATGAAAGTTACTGTCCTGTCCATGTGGGGCGCCTTCTCTGACAAGAAGTCGGGTGTGTCATTTGTCAGTCATAGTCGATAGTATCAGTCCATTCTCACTATGTACACTTACTTGCATTTGAGTCTTAGTATCTAGTATGTATAACTTATACAAGGTCTCTATCAGTCTAGGCTCCGTACAGCAGATTATGCCCAGTTTCTCATAGTATTCGCTACCATGGCAGTCTAGTCACTTGAATGGTCGTATGCCTGACCGTCGCCAAGTTTAAGCCCCTTATACTTTCTGTGTCAGGCTTCGCCTTATCCAATGTTGCGAACATTCTCATTATTATGATTTTGTATGACTTCTGCTTGTATCCTGCATAATTTTGTTATATAGTCATATATATATGGGCCCCCTCAGTGTCTCCACCTTATCGTGGTGAGGGGGTTTGAGTATACCAAGGACCCTGAGAGCTATACCAGCGGTAGCGTAGCTACTGGCAGGGCCTCCGTTATTGGACAGGTCAAAGGGTAGGCATCAGTCGAAGAGTGACACCAAAAACTGATGTCGGAAGCAGCGTCATCAGTAGTGACTTGAAGCACAGAGCAAATGATGCTCGAGATGGTTCAAGTTCGTATAGCAGCAGGCATGACCAGAGGGCAGTAGATCAGAAACATCTGGAAAGTTTCGAAATGTGGTGTTGGAGAAAGATGGAGAAGATCAGTTGGACCAATTATGTGAGAAATGAAGAAGTGTTAATTAGAGTCAGTGAGCAGAGGAATATCTAACATGAAATAAGAAAACGAAAGGCTAATTGGATTGGTCATGTTTTACGCAGAAACTGCCTTCTAAAAGGAGTTATTGAAGGAAAGATAGAGGGGCGGATAGAAGTGACAAGAAGACGTAAGAAGATGCTGGATGACCTTGGGGACAGAAGAGGATACTGTCATTTGAAGGAGAAAGCTCTAGATCACATTAAGTGAAGGAATTGTTTTGGAAGAGACTGTGGACCTGTCGTCTTGACAGATTACTGATGATGATACATACGGGATTTTGAATGCCATGTGCAAATCGCTGACTGGTGTGCGCCTTGGAAAATTGCCAATCGTGCAGAGAACCTTGTTTTGCAGGCGCTGCAATTTCACTAGATGGGTGTCTGCTGCAAACTCCCAGGCAGGACAAGCATTAGTCATGATGGATCTAATAAGAGGTTTGTGGAGGGTCAGTTTAATGTTAGCACTCAATCGCTCACTTTTGAATAGGGAATATACCCTAATGAATGCTCTGAAGGCCTTGGCTTTGATCGTTTGTATGTGTAATCTCCATGTCACTCTCTTATCGAAGATTACACCTAGATATTTTGCACTATATACAAACGGAATATTTCTTCCATTTAGAGTCAGGCAGTCGACAAACACGAGAGAAGTAGCCCCCCCCCCAAGGTTTTATCTTAATTAATTTCTATATTGCAGCGCTCAGAACAGGTCTCTATTGACCTGAGACTGCGCTGTAGTTTTCTAACAATAAAAGCCTCCTTGCGATCTGTCGCATACAGACAGGTGTTGTCCGCAAAGAGGGCGAGGTGAACACCATGAGTTTGTGAGGGGGGCATCATTTATATACAAGTTGAAAAGAATAGGGGAAAGGACAGAACCTTGTGGCACCCCTGCTTGCATTTCCATTGGCGTTGACATTTTGCCTTCAACCAAGACCCTGAATTTATGATTAGTAAGAAAGGACCCAATAAGTTTGGTCAACCTGTTCGAGAATTCCAATTTTGATAAATTATACAGCAATCCTGTGTGCCACGTGGTATCAAAGGCTTTTTCAATGTCCAAGAACACCGCAGCTGTAGACATTTTATTGTTGAAATTCGGGTTATGTGGTCCGCCATACAATCTTTCTCTTACTAAAATGGAATTTCAATATATAACAGTTTTTCAGTATTCATATTTCTTTAAAATATGTTATTATTTCAGCAATATAACACAGGCCAACAGCTATTTTGGTGCCGGGGTATTTGGAGCTGATTTCATATGAATTTGATGCCCTGAATTCAAATATGGCATTAGTTTTTGCCTAGGAGCTCAAATTTTTAAGATATAACATTTTGGTGAAATATACGTTACACTATTTTAAGTTAAATCAGTGGATCAAATAAAAAAACTCAACATGGAATTTTTATTACTATATTATAATTATATTTTTATTTTATTA